ATTATAATTTATCACATAGCGTATAGAAAATCATTGTAATATCGATATTCTACGTATCTTTTTTTTAAGATTAATACATACGTATATATACAGTATATCGATATGTATAGTTTACTCTATGCATCGTGTTACTGATACACTGAATGTAAACTATATAAGAAATTTTCAATTCAGAATCCCTGGTTGCAAGCAAGTATGGAACTTCCAGCGGCTGTTAAAAATATTGAGCTTCCCGCTTCTGTTAAAAATATTGAGCTTCCTGCTTCTGTTAAAAACATAGAGCTACCCGACGTTGTTAAAAATATTGAGCTTCCTAGTGTTGTAAAAAATGTCCCAAATGTTGTTAAGAACGTCCCTACTGTTGTGATGAACAGTGTTCCAGATGTCATGAAAAATATTCAAGTTCCTGTAAATCTTAATACTCAAATGTTTTCGTGTAAGTGATCCTATGTCATTTTTTAGTTGTACTTTCGATTGATTTCTCGATTTTGTTAATTTACAGCGTTCGCTACAAGTGCTTTTACAAGCGTCGCGTCTTTTACGAAATCAATTCAACAAAAAGTAGGCGAAACTACGAAAGATATGCAACAACAGCATCAAGAATTTATGAAACAAGTTAAGGAAGAAACACTTGAGCCGAAGGCGGGAACTGGTATGATATATAATTGTTAAAGTTTCTCAATCTTTTATTATTTATAGAACTTTTTATCACTTTATCAGAGGCAGTTCCACCATGGATTGGACTTCCAAATGAAGATGAACTTAAAGACCGAATACTGGCGTTATCTCTGGTATTTTATTTTTTATAATTGTTATGATTGTCATATATATTTTCTTATTCTTATTTTTTCATGAACAGGATAAACGTAATTTTACTATTCCTCCACCAGAAAATACAAACTTTCAATTTGACCTAAATATATATTCTCAGACAGCTTTGGCAACTCTTAAGGCTGATTCTCGCTTAAATCGACTGCGATTTGAGCTGGTTCCTAAGATGTAATTCTATTTTTATTTTTTTAGTTGCTTCTGTTTGATTATATTTTATTGATTTATATTTATGCATTATTATTTTTATATTTATTTTTAAAAGTGTGTCAGAACCAATATTTTGGAGAAATTATTTTTATCGTGTATCTCTTATTAAACAGACTGCATTAGGTTCAACTGATGGAGTGGTTTTAGAAAATGAGGTTTTCTCGAAAAATTCTACTGAAATTTTGGAATCTATGCCTAATGAAAATAAGGTTTGTACGAATATTCTCTGAATTTCAATAATTCAATACTTATAAATATGTTACGAAAATTTATCAGGATAAAGAAAATCATGATCCATCTAATAAAGAAGTGTTGTTTGATGTCACAAAGGGAGAAGGTATTAATCTTAAAAAAAAGATACGTAGAATATCGATATTACAATGATTTTCTATACGCTATGTGATAAATTATAAT